GAAAATTAACTCTATCCCAGCCGAAACCAGGACACTGCCATACAGTTACTCCTGGTTCTCAGAATCCACAGGAAAAAAACACCCTGCCCAGAAAATGTCATAATCAACTGGTTTTCAAGAGCTTAGTGATTTTCTGCTTGAAATGAGTGTGAGTATAGGGGAAAAGCCTGCTGCTTTTGTTGTGCTGAATCTACTGAAACAATTAGAATAGGGTTGGCTTACATCTGGGTGAATTCCCATTTCCTTGAAATAGTAGGAGTGATCAAGGGCTGAACAGATGACATAGCTGTGGGGAGAGGGCTGGTGTTCCCATTCAAGGGCAAGTTCTCCAGATACCAGGGTTGGGGCTCAAATCGCATAGCTGGGAATAAGAAAAGGAAGTCCAAAGTACTGGTAGCGTCTGAATAGCAGAGCTTATGGTGTTTCTGTGATTCTGATTGTTTTGTGTCTTTTGCCATTGAGTCAGCTCCTTTCCTTACTGATGAAAGGTAAAACACATTGAACACAAGCATGTTGTGAAAACATACTACATGGACTCTGCCATGGGGAAAAGTAAACAAAGGTTTACTGACAGAAGCAATCCCATCAGCAAACACAGTCCCAGTGGACCATAAACAAGGTCAGACAGAACAAACTTACTGCCTCCCATATGGCTCAGAGGCTGCCAAGAGAAGTCCGGCACTCAGATCTGCTGGGGCACAGATAGGCTGCCCTTCAGGGACCCATCCCAGTGGGTCCATCTTCCCTTCCTGGGATTCTCAGCTGAGATACACTCTCTTTAGGTAAGCCCTTTTCCTCAGAGCTTCCTGTAAGTATGTCAGGTCAGGGCTAATGGACTCACGGCAGGTCATTTATCTTGGACAGTTATGATAGGGGGTCACATACTCTACTGTAAGCTGTATTGTCCCCTTCTGCCGACTGTTGCTGCAGGAAGTCAAGTGGACAACACTTCACAGGGTATAAAGAAGCTCTCATCCTCTTTCAGGGCTTAGCTTGGATCCCGCTGTCCTATAGACTGAGAGAATGCATGTGTGGGATTAACCTGTCCTAATCAGATCTAATTTTATTGTAGCGGAAGACTGAAGGGTGTTAATAAAATCTCCTACATATGGATGAAAGACACCATAAAATACATGTACTTACCACAGACAAAATGAATACACAGCACATAAAAGAAATTTTAACTTATGTCTATGAGAACCCTTCCTTTCCTTCTCCTCCATTAATACAACTAGATAGCATGAAGAGGAACATTCCCTATCACACACTAAGACAGACAAAAGCAACATGGACAAATGATGGAAGGCAGACCAACACAATTTTCCTGGAATTAGGACAAAATGTCCCCTGTCTCCACAAAAACTGCAGAATTCTCCAGTTCTTAAAGAACATCATCAGGACTATGCTGAGTAGCATCAGCCAGGTATATTTAGCCCCCTGCTCTATGGACCTCCATACTGTGAACTATAGGCATTTTTGTACCTTCCACGTATGTATGGTACAAGACTAGTTTTTTTCCTGTTCTCTCCACATCCTCCCCTTCCAGAGAGATTTGGGACAATCCCTCTTCCCACTCCAGGTCCTCCCTGCCACAGCTCAGACCAACCTTCTGGTCTGGAGTGTGAAGTTCCTCAAGTGGAGGACAACTGTGGTGATGTCCCACATCCTGGTAGGTACCTCCCAAGCCCATCCAGCATTCAAAGGTGCCCTGTTTGATACTTTTTCCAGGAGCAGTCACTCCTCACACTCTAGCATGAATACTCCTAGTGCAGCTCTTCTCCTCCAGTTCCTTGCCTCCACTCTCAAAAGCAAAGGCCTGGGAGGTAAATGGGGCAGGAAGTTGCTCCATGTGTTATTTCCAGAAGCCTCTGCTCTGTCCCTTTAGCAACAGGCCAAGAACCTGTTTTTCTGCCACCCCACTCTGATAAAAATCTCACTATCCTACCTTCTAATCAGTATTGGTGCACTGATTTATCAGGGTGGGATCTCACTGGAGCTGCTCTCAACTCTTGTTGAGTTCGTACAGCCACCTCAGAGCAGGCTGCCTCACACCACTGCAAGTTATCAAGTCATCAACTCTGTAAAAGCCGCTGCTTCACACAGAGGTGTGGTATCTCCCAATCCACTGAGTGATAGTATCTTGCCTGAGCAGAAGCAATAGCTCAGGGCTTCCACTGAGTTCTTGCTGCTTGGAGCAAAGGGACTCATACAAGGCAGCAGTCTCCAAGCCCCTCTGAGTCGGAAGCCTAGCCTGCCCATACACCATACCCATGCTACAAGCACTGATGGGTCTCAATAAAGCACCTCTGTGCAGGGTGGACCAAGTCTGGGAGAACAGGTCAGAGGACCAGAGAAATGTCAGCAGTAGGGAGCTTGTTTGTTGATTTGGGGCTTGCATTGCCTTTGCAGTGCTCACAGCACGTTGCCAGGACCACTGTAAGAAATGAGCAATCTACATTCAGCAGCATCATCTTTCCAGAGACAGGGACTAAACTCCACTTGCAAAAAACTTATCCAGGGTTTATATGCAATGGCAGGAGTCAAAGCAGTGCAGTGGGAGAGCCGCTGTCAAAGCAGGAGTCAGTCTCTCCTTGAGGCAGCAGCTGCACGATAAAGGGTTTGTTACAGACTTCAGTAAGGCTGAGCACTGGGCTCCAGTGCTCCACTGCAGTAAGAGTGGGTGATCTGCAGACCCACAATAGCAAGAGAGTGTTTATGTATTTCTTGAAAACAGGTTTTACCCAAGTAGGTACATAAGGAGAGAATGCAAAGAATCACCATCTCCATATGAGAAGAGTTGGACTCATTTAACACCCTTTAAAACATATTTTACAGACATCCTGCTATGTTAATAAGAGTGACTGAAAGTTTTTGTTGATTTTAAAGGATTTATAACAGGATAGGAAGAGACTGGAGACACTGAGAGTCAGTCCTTAAGTGATGGATTTAAATGACAGTGTTTATTCATCAGCCATAGCAATAATTTATAGATGACATTGTAGCAGGACAATTCTTTGACAGTTTATGCCTAGTGTCACTGTCTCTCAAAGTTTTTTGCTGACCCTGTGGACCGCAAAAAGACACTTACAGTAAGTGCTACAGCAGAATAAGTCTATTGTCTCAGGGATTTTCTCTTTTTTGTCAATATTTTTCTAAGACGTCCTAGGCAAAGAGTTGGAACATGTGAGAAAGAACAGATTGGTTGAGGGTAAACAACAATGACGTAGGCAGCAAAGAGCTCTGTAAGGAAGAAAGGACTCCGTAGGGACTGGCTCAAGTGAACACAGATCATCAGCAAGTCCCGGAGGAGACGTAATTGAATTGCAGGGGACTTGTTACCTGTTGGGATAAAGCTTTTGGTGGGTAACACAGAACCGAAAGCAGTCTGGGCAAAACCACTCAGCAGAGAGAATACACTTGTAAAAATAACAGCAGACTTTACAAAAAACAGTCTTCCAAGGAAAATTTGGAAAATGTGTTAATAACTTGAATTACTCAACTGGGGAAAATGTTACATTTTAAAACTGTCAGTTGCTTGTGGTTTTTTTACAGTTTTTTGCTTATTAGTTTGATAAGGAAATTCCTCATTTACTTCTGAATATCCCTCAATCAGATAGTAGTTAGTAGCACTAACTAGCCCACATGTGCAAATACTATAGCCATTATAACTCATGCCCAATAACTCAGCAATTACTTCTTAGTAGGATGAACAATTTTCCCCATGAAAAGTGTGGTGCCAGTTGCTTTGTCAGAAATCAATATAATGAAGGGCCTGTTGAATTTGATGGTAACAGAAGGGCGGAGAAGTCTGTTAAGGACTATGGCTGTGGCTCCCGAAGCCTCAGTTCCAGCCTCATGAACTTCCAGCAGGGCCTTGTGAATTGCCTGCAGGGAAAAGGAGCAAACACTGTGGTTTATATATGGGACAGCAAGCAGGGGGTGAAGATACATGCTCTTATGGAATATTTAGGAGAAGAAAGGAGTGATAAAACCCAGTGGACCAAATTTTCATGTATGGTAAATCTCCAACAGCCTGCAACAAGAGTGTTTTCCATGTCAGGACTGAACGGGGAGGGCCAAAAATAAAAGCGGACACACTGTAGATACAACCTAACCAGTGCTTAGTAGAGGGGGATAATAACAATCCATGCACTAGGTGGTTTATTTTCTTAGATGGTTTGGACTTCCATTAGCAACACTTTCTCTGTTATTCCAAGGTTAATGGAAGACTGCTATTTAAATGCTAATATATAAATACAGGGGCCACATTTGGCATCTTTACCACATTAAATCGTGACTTAAACTGACATGGTAAAATTCTGCTACTGCAAACTGGAAGGTTCCTGGAAATTTTGAGAATATTAAAAAATCAGGTACTAATCAAAACAAGTATCATAATATAAGCCTAATTTATAATTTACTTAACACAATCACATGTAAACAATCATATTCCAGTGCCAAGAAATCATCTAAAATCTCATCCAACTTTTCCATGTACTTAATATCCAGCCCTTTAATAGCAATATTAAAATAGTACAAAGGTGGGACAGCAGACTCTCTCTGTAGAAAAGCACAATTACTAAGCAAGCCCCTACATGTCATTGTGAGTTTTACTTATAACTTCAGTAGGACTAGGAGGGAAAGCAAGTCTTTAAAAAACCCATATATAATTGACCAGAGCAACCAACCACCACCCTGTCACCAGCTCTGTCTGTTCACTTACTTGTGAAACCTGAAGATTACGGCTGCCACTAATTCCGGACAGATCAGCATTACCAGAGAAGACTTCAGTAATGCCCATTTCCTTGAACAGGTTTTTCACATCGTAAGACCCACTAATAGAAATCTTTGGTAACTGCAGATTTAATGTCCTGTTGAACAGAGAAAATGCAACAGCAGTGAAGCATTGCAACCTCATTTCAGCCAGCAGGCTGGATAGTATGCAATTCAGTGACACCTGAAAGCATTATTTTTATTGCTAATTTGTTTGATGGTATCATTTATATTCCCTGAGCAATTTTGGCATCCAGAGAGATGCTCCATCTTGTACCTACATTCTCTCTTTGATTTTGAAAAAAAGGACTAATTTCTTCATTGCCACTCTTTCATCCTCGTGCCTCATACACAGCTAGCAGAGTTTTGTGGCTAGAGGGCTACAGAGAGTAAGCAGACCAACTGTGGAAAGGTTAAAAGAAGGGAACAGGAGGATAAAATCTAAGACACAGTGAAGAAAATTAATTATGCTAGCCAAAAGGTAGCCAAGCAAGTCTTGAGGCAGTTGTTACAATGCTGTGTCTCCTTCTGTCAGGTCAGAGACTCTGCAGTTTCTTATCAATTATGCTCTGCTCTGACTCAGCTTAGGAATCACTTAAAACCCCACTTTTTGAAATCAGCACATTATATCCAGCAGGAGGCAATCTGAAATTAATGCTTTCTCTTAAAAATAATGATGTGTCCTCAAATATAGCAATGCATCTACCTAGAGTTACCTGGTCTCAAGTTTGTTATCCCATTTACAAACAGTTTCCTTGGAGAGAGCAGCTTCCACTTGCTTCATCTTTCCATCATCAGGCAGAATGAGCAATGCTCGTGCAGTGCCCTGGTAAGGCAGCTCTACAACCTCACAAGAGAGGTCCCGGTCATAGTAACTGTTATAGCTACTATCACGCTGCATCATGTTGACTCTAACAGATGCATTTGTGTTCACAAAAAAATCATCCTCATATGTACGCAAAGGATCAAAAGACTTTTCCCAGGCAGCTAATAGGGGAAAAGAGAAGATGTTGCACTCAAACATGTGAAGATCATAAAAAATGGCTGATATACATCAGAGCAACTTCAATGTTAGGACACTGGAGGGCTCTTTATGGGAGAAGAGGATCACTAAATCACTTCAAACTCCTGCATAACACACAATAAAGCATTTTAGCTGTGCAGTAAGTTCAGCGTAGTTAGTGTAAGTCCTGTCTTGCCGAAAAACAACCAAAGGTTGATGAGGACCAATTGAGAAAGTCCTGCTTCTATTGTAGCTATATGTTCCCATCACTTGTGCCTTTTAAGTCATTTAAATTCAACCACTTAAACATTCAGCCACAGGATCTTGTTATGCCTTTCCTGTTAGGCCATTTCTGATGCAAGCTGACTGCACTCAGCCTGCTGAGGAATTCATCAGCAGAATAAAGGATCCTGGCATTGAAGTGGGGCTCCAGAAACACAGGCCCTCAAAATGCTACATCCCAAGTTTTCATGCAGTGTACCTAGTAGATTTATGATAATACTGGGGACCCTGGAAGTGCAAGGATGTCAGTCCACTAAGTTTGACTGGCATATACAGTCAGCATGGAGATCTGGGAAACATCTTTAGTCATTATGTCCTCAGACCAGCGAGACAGCTGTCGATGAGGCAGTCCACCAGAGTGGGACATCTCTGTCCACAGCTTTCAGGCAAACTGGGCCAAAATCAAGCAATCAAAATTTTTCAACAACTGGATACCTTGCTTTTGGCCAAATCTACTTTGAAGGTCCTGCACAGTTTAGCTCTTTCCTAAATAGTCACTCTTCTAATAAATCATCAAGAGTTCCCTAGAATTTTTGTTTTGCAGCAAAATCATCTATTGGAATTTTATGTTAAATATCTTACCTTTAAAATAAATGTAGTTAACAAGAACCAATACACTACTTGCATCAAGATGACCAATTAATTCAGGAATTTTCCCCTTCGTTTTCTCCTTTACATATTTATTGATTTGCTTCTTAGCTTCTTCTGGTTTATGGAAACTGCTAGAATAAAATTCTGCATCATAAAATTGTTTGGTATTTTGTAAAAATGTCTCCTGTGGTTCATACCCAGTAGCTGTAAAAAGGGCATTCCCTATATTTAATGTGATGCTATCAGTACAGTTCAGTACTGCTAAAACTTCATGAAAACTTTCATGTATATCATGTATGCGAGTCTCAGTCAGACCATCAAAGCCCAGTCCTTGAAAAATCTGAGACAGGGTTCTTGACTTAGCACCAACAGCCAGCATGGCAAAGGCAGTGGAGATGCTCATGGGAGAAAAGAAAACATTTTTATCAGCTTCTTTTAATATAGCCTGCTTGTAAAATCTAAATACAAAATCTGCATAGTTAGAGCCTTGCTTGCCACACTTATATGCTAATAAATTTTCTGTTCCGTCGTGCAGATTAGTATTACTGACTTCATGGCACATGTCTTCATGGTGGCAATGGGTTATGGCACAAAGAACAGCAAGGAGTAAACACAGGCACAGGAGATACTTCATCTTCATTTCAAATTATTCTGTCACAAAATAAATAGTCATTAGATGAGCAGATGGTAATGATGAGCTTGGTAGTAAGAAATAATGAATAGTTTGTTAGCATAAATATTATATAGTGCAACTGTAAAGATCTAATGTACATAGGATAAAGTCTCCATGGACACAATGTCAAATGTGATTAATAAACTCAACCAAATTATAAATTAAAATGTCAGGGATAATAAAACCATAATATTCCATTGTAACTGCTCTGAAAAGACAATTCTCTTCTTCATTGGCAATGAAAGTATAGAGCCAAAGTTCATAATAGTCTCTATTAACAGTGGCATTATCTTCCCTGGATCATTGTCTCCTATAGGGTATACCTAAACAAGCAAGTTACCGTGAGGTAAGACATGGTGTGGATTTCAAAGACATTGAATACTCCACAGTACCTGCTCAAATGCAGTTTGGTAAATGAGAGGCAGCTCAATTCTTACTGGAAGTGGGATAAATTCCCTCACTTTCATCAGGGCAGCAGCACACAGACAGATGGCTATCACTGACTCTCCAGTGCTTTTTAAATTCACACCCCTGTTTACTTCATGGTTGCTTACTCATATGTCCAGTCATTTGCCACAGTGCTGGATGAAATTCATCTACAAAAACTTCAAGGCAAAATTCAAGGCAAGAGCCTGGAGCTTACTGTGCCATGGCAGCAGGGCACTCAGAGATGGGCATAGAGACACGTGGGAAGCAGCAGGTTTGCACCAGATAACGAGGTGCATGTTTGGAAAGAAGGGACCCCTCCTTTCGGGTGGCTGCAACTACTGTTTGTAACTTGTTAAATAGTCATTTGCCCCTCACTGTGGGTTAACCTGCGTGGAATGTGTGGCTCCCTCTAGGGACACAGGAAGGACCTGGGTCCAAGAGGAAAAGAGGAGCACAGATCCCATTTAGAAATCAAAGGACACTCAGATTAATCCCCTTGGAGATGACAAGTTTCTTCGTTATGCTTGTTCTCCTAATGCTGACATGATATACTTCACATGACCTCCCGCCCTCCACAGGAGCTGGAACAGTTTACTAAATTCAGTTCCCTGCTATTCTGGGGAGGCATCTCATATAAACCCTCTTCAGAAACGTAACAACCTATCTATGAAAATAAGCATTTTGCCCTCGCAGCTTCTACGTGAAAACATTTCTAGAACTTTTCTACTGTTATGGCTCTCTTATTCTAATTTCCAGCCAACACAGCCTGTTTGTAACCTTCTCTTCCAGGAATGCATTTTCCTATGTCCTGCCAAGGTGAAGTTCTCTTGGTCCTGTATTCATTCCCGAATCTGAAAGATGACTGTATCGACTATCTAAACAAGATTTAGATAGAGTTTCTGAGAGCCGCCCAAGTTCCAGGATTATTGGTGATTAACCAGTTGCTTTATTTTTTTATTGGTATGGTGGTCTCTCTTGTTTTTATAGCAAACGTATACACTAGCTGTGTGTTCTCACATTTGCTAGGATCTGAATACGCTGAGTATGTTTGAAAGCAGACAATGACGACTGCAGTGACCTGCAGTAAGAAGTGGTAATGCTAAATTTTAATTTCTTTAAACCAAAAAATGGAGTATGGCCCTAGATGGGAATATGATTCAACTATTTGCATCTCTTTCAAGCAGAACTCTCCCTCTTCCTCCCAAAAAAACCAAAACAGCCAAAAAACCCCCCTTATGTACTGCAGACAAATGAAGCAGTTGTGTGGTACAGAGGGTGTTTCAAAAGTACTTGTTGTTTAACATTTCATAGACTGTTTTTCTCTAGTTATTTGAGATGTTGCACACTTAAGTGAAAAACAGAATAATTTTTTCTGTCCATGACCACTTCCTGTGTCCAAACAGAGCTTAACCTAAATTTCAAAGAATTTCTGAAGCAAAGAATATGTTTTTTCTGCAGCAAGCATGTATTAGGCATGGCTCTGTTTTTAACCTGTACTATAACAGATCAGTTAAAAATACTTCTCTTAGTATCACAGCTCTCTGCAGAAATATTAAAGAACTACTTCTACCAGAAGCTGGAAAACACTGAATATTGTCATCAAGTTTCCCCCACATACTTCTCCCTTTAGGGATATTAAACACATTAATTTCAACATTTCGAAATTAGAAAATTTCAGCCACAAAAATTTTTTTGTTACCATTTCAAAGCTGAAGAAAGTGGAAAGGCTTTATTAAATCTGGGCTGTATTTTTTATATGCAAATTGGAAATCCAGAAAATAATTCCCTGACAAACCACAGAGTAGTTTGTCTATGGGAAAAAAAGGGGTAATTAAATTTAAATTGTGGCCTTCCACCCACCCCATACACTGACCCTAGTCCTAATTAGAGAGCCTGGCCTTAGCAGTTCAATGGTTGTTTTATACATTAAGTCACCAGAAGAGTTTATAAATTGGACCTGGTTGTTCAGTTACTAGTAGGCTTTATGCTAATTTCACATCACTGTGAAGGCTGTTTCCAACCTAAAGGTGCTTTCATCAGTATTCTGCTTTAACAACTACTCAATAAGTCTCCATGACTTTAAAAGTTATTTTATTCTAATTTCAGGCTAAGCACATTCCCCCAGAACAGCAGGTCCCACTGGTCCCTTGCCTGTTTGCTTGATTAATATTTCATGGCAACATCTGCACATAACCAAGTCACAAGCACACAAATGAAATTAACCTAACATGAAAATTCCACCAACCACAGAAAGCATCATTTGCAAGTCTCTAAGAAAAATGCACATGCAGTACTTACAAAATCAGAAGCCCTGTTGCATTCAGCTGACCATGCTGTTCTCCATGCTATTACTTATACTGCTACATCATCTTCTGCTTAAATGACACTGTTAAACATTAAACAGACCTGATAAAAATTAGAGCCAACCAAAAAAAAGGAGGAAACAGAGCAAATATTGATGAAATAGGGTTTCCAAGGATCATCTCTGCAATTCAGCCAATGGAGCTGACAATCTTCAGCCATTTGAATAGTAGCTGTGACTTTCTGCCTGTTGCCTCTGACCACGTGGAGAAACTTAGGGCAAACATTGTGTAATTAGGACCCTACTGGAAACCAGGAGGTTGTGCCTGGAACCACTGGAAATAGATGCTAACTCTTGGTGCCAGAAGTCAGTCTTTCTGTGCTGTGTTGAAGCACACATAGAGCTGACAGCTACACACCACAGCAGCTCGGCGCTCTTCCAAAGTCCGACCAGAGCCAAAACTTCTTCCTGATCCTCAGCCTGAATATGGACTTTGAACCTTCTCAATCTGACTGTAATTGCATGCCATTGAGAGGATATGTGATAGACATGTTTCCCTGATGGGTTTCCTACTCTGACTGATGTGATCTCTTCATATATCTCAGTTCTGTGTGCATCTGAGTTACTGCCTCAGGCAGGTGGTGGGAATACAAATAGCAAGCTGTTTTCTCTACTCCCACACATGCACATGCTGCACGTGCGCACCCACTTCTCCTTCTTCTTGTCCCTCTTGCACAAATTTAAATCGTTGGAATGAAAAAAAGTACTGCTTGTTGCTATTAACTTTTCCCAATAGGAATAAAATGCTATTAGATCAAGTTGACTGAATTTTTCCAGTTAGCAACAAAGACTATGATTGAGTGGTGACATGAAATGTTTCACCATTTGTAATGACTCTTTTTCCTTTGTACTTGTTTACTCACATGTGTAATTTTGTCATTACATAGATAAACATGGAGACAGAACATAGATAAACCTTGTCTTGACACTTCCCTTCTTTGTTTTCCTCTTTGTTTCTTTTTTCCCCTTTCCTTTTTACTTGTTCTTTCTAATTCTGGCTGTAAAAGGTCACAAACACAGATTATTTTACTCATGAAAGCCTACGTGAATGACAGTTCATGGTGGTCAAAGACAAACTGTGTTACAAAATGGCTATAAGCCTCTTGTTTTCTTTTTCATTTGTGAGGCCTTGTAATTACTGCTTTGTTTTTAATAATGTTAAACTGCACTTTAACAAGGCATTTCCCTAGCACTTCATTATAGCAGCAGCAATAAGGTGCTACACCAGCTTTAAACTAAAACAATGAACAGATGCACATGTGCCAGGTGTACCACGCACTGCCATGAGCATTTACAGTCCCACCTCTCTACTGACCAGACTTTCAGCTCTAAAACTATGTCATGAAACCACTTTAACCAGATTCATACTGATCAATCATCTACTGAACTAGGTCTTGCTTCTCTACTACTTATTTTTCATAAGAATAAAAGTCCAGAATACTGAAATAACAAAACAGATGTGGTTTATTCCTTCTGATGATTAAAACCATGACAAAGCCTACATTATCGGAGTCTATGTTACTGCTGTGTACTTTACATAGGTCAGTATTTATAACACACCCTAACTCACATTTTGACTTATTTAGAACAAATAGACCCATATATAATATTTCATGCATTTAACAACATTTTGCAAACAGCTTCCTGCCAGTTTGTTTTGTTTTGAACAAGTCATTCTGAAGCAGGTTTGAAGAGATCTTAAATAACCACTGGCTGGTATATTCAATGACAACAGAACCATTCAACTTGTCCAGTGTTTTTGTTATGTTTCTACGCCTTAGGTAAGGGAATTATAGTTTTTGTGTCAACTTAGCAACAATAATAGCTGTTCTGGGATTATGGCTCACAGACACACAGGTTACTTCAAATATCAAAAAATGTTTATCCCTATAGATTGTTACATCATAAGTAACACAAAGATTTTTAAGTGTAAAGTACATAGACTACAAGTATATTGACATAGCAGCAATATGAAGGAAATGGAGTGTGGAATTTGGAAGGGAATGGACATTGCCTTCCCCTCCTTTCCCCCCTGATAGTTCTGAGTTATTAATAGTCTTTGGGAAGGATCAGGCAGTCAGAGTGCAGGCAAAATTGTTAAGATTGAAGATTTATGCATGTCTGATGAACTATGGATCTTCTAGTCTGGATGAGGTATATAATGAAGAAA